ACATCAAAGAGACCAGAGTTAAAAGGATTTTTAAATTGGTGGAAAAATTTGATAGTCCCTATTCATCTGTCAATATATCTTAATGTTTTATCTCCCCTTAGGCGTATGAGTTTTAGTTTTCTAAGCTTTATTAACAATCTGGTAAAAGCGGTAAGAAGAGTTAACAAATTTATTTGACAATGGCTAAGCTGCAAACTCTTCTCAAAATCTCTGTAGACAATTTGCTTGATGACAACAAGTGTCATAACCCACTATAGAAAGTTGTATAAAGATATAGAAATTATTGATTCAAAATATTGTTATCAAAGTGTTACACTTTCTCAATATACCAAAGTTAACAGCAAGGTTTTTTAGCAGTACAAACTAGTAATTGCAAATACTTCCTAAAGTATGGAATTCTTTTTAATCTTTCCAAAAATCACCATTTTTTGTGCATTAAGTAGCTTGATGTTTTTAACTGGGTATTAAATGCAAATGATAGAACTTTTGGCGACCAAGCTTTCAGTGAAGTTGTTAATTGTTTTTCAGATTTGTTAATTGGTGTAGGACTTGTCTAATATACTTCCCAAATGGATAATATTAAAAACATATGTTTCCAATCAAAAGTAACAATCAAAAAGAAAATTATTTGAAAATTTGGAGAATTGTTTTTTCTAAACAAAATTTGGTCTAGGAATGTCAAAATATTTTTGATATATTTGAACTATTTTAATTTGTATGTTTTGAAAACAATTTATTTAAGCTAATTAAGAACATTTCCTTTTCTACAATTCAAAACAATTTACAAAAGCAACTGCAAACTGACATAGTAAAAATAAAATCTTCAAGTAATGTTTTTGTTTTTGCTGATAAATCTAGAAACCTGTATGAGCTAGACAAACCTTCATATCATAAACTTTATACTGAAAATATTACTAAAACCTATAAAAAATCTGATATCACACAATATAACATCATTAACACAGATGCTAAAATCATAGCAAAAGACTTGGGCATAGATGATAGGCTAGAGTGTCTAGCCATGAATACAGCATTCATTACCTTAAAAGAAGATCATAAGGATAATTTCCCCAACAATACACAGTGCCGATTAATAAATCCAGCTAAACCAGAACTCGGAAAAGTAAGTAAAATTTTATTAGATGATATCAATAGTAAAATTAGGAATGCTACCCAATTACACCAATGGCACAGCACAAATGACGTCATAATCAAGTTTGGTTGAAATCCATACCCGAATGGATTTCAACCAAACTTGATTCAAATGGTTCAAATCCATACCCGAAAAAAATAAATGTACTTTCATTCAATACGATATTGACGAGTTTTACCCTTAATTTCGAAACAACTTCTTCAAGATTCTATAAACCATGCAAAACAGTTCACCAAAATTCCTGATAAATCACTGAAAATTATTTACCACACCAGGAAATCTTTACTTTTTTCAGGAAATAATATGTGGATTATAAAGTCGGCGGACCCTAATTTCGATGTCACCATGGGTAGTTTTGACGGAGCCTAATTATGCGAACTAGTTGGCCACTATATCTTATACACTATTGCCAAAGAATATGGTCTTAATACTACCGGTCTATAAAGAGATGATGGTCTTTGCTGCTTCTATAATATCAGTGGTTCTCAATCGGAAAAAATAAAGAAAAATCTAATAAAAATTTTTAAAGACAATTTTAACCTTAACATCACTATCAAACCAAATTTAAAAACCATAAATTTTCTTGATATCACATTTAACCTTTTTGAGAACTCTTTTAAACCTTATAGAAAACCAGAAGATAATCCTTTATATATTAACATCAATTCCAATCATCCACCAAGCATTATTAAATCAATACCAAAAATGATCTCTAACCGCATCAGTAATATATCTTCAAGCAAAGAAGCTTTTGATAGAGCCGCACCATTTTATAATAACGCTATCAATTCTTGTGGATTCAAAGATAAGATCAATTTCACTCCAAATATTCAGAAATATAATAAAAAATCTTGAAAAAGAAACATCTAGTTTAACCCACCTTATTCACTCAACGTCAGAAAAAACGTAGCCAAAACATTTTTGAGTACAATTGATAAATGTTTCCCTAAAGGCCACAAATTTCACAAACTTTTTAATCAAAACAACTTAAAGGTTAGTTATAGCTGCCTTCCAAACATCAAGAGTATTATTACTTCTCATAATAAAAAGATATTATTCCATTCTCATCTGATGATCGCTATTGCGTGAAACTTTTAGTTATGTAATTGAAATATATCTTAATAATTATTTAGTTTTCTCTCTCTCTCTCTCTCTCTCTCTCTCTCTCTCTATATATATATATATATATATATATATATATATATATATATATATATATATATATATATATATATATATATATATATATATATATATTTATACATATATATATATATATATATATATATATATATATATATATATATATATATACAAATATATACAAATATAAATATATATATATATATATATATATACAAATATATATACATATATATATACAAATATATATATATATATATTTATATATATATATATATACATATATATATATATATATATATATATATATATAT